TTAACTTTAATTTCACCAACAAAGGTTATGGGCCATTTGGGATATTAAAATAATCATTTTACAGTATTCTGTGCTTAAAAATAAGTAAAATGAGTTTTGGCTATAGAATTGAACCTTTGAAACGAAATAATTATGACACTTGGAAAATTCAAGCTGAAGCTATACTAATCCAACAAAACCTAATGGAATATGTATCTGGGGAGAACAAATGTCCTGAGGATGAAGTTGGTAAGAATGCCTGGATAGTTAAAGATCTTAAAGCAAAATCAGAACTAATATTGATCATTTCACCTAGTGAATTGAAATTAGTAAAAAACTGCAAAACTTCCAAAGAAGTATGGGATTGCCTGCAGAACAATTACCAAAGTTCTGGTCCTGCAAGGAAAGCCACATTATTAAATCAGTTAATAGTTCATAAAATGAAAGATGGAGAAGATGCTAGGGATCATGTCAACAAATTTATGGAGATTGTTGACAAACTTCAAGAAATGGACATAATTATCAATTCAGACTTACTTAGCATTATGCTACTTTACAGCTTATCATCATCATTTAAAAATTTCCGGGTAGCAATTGAGTCTAGAGACACTTTACCTTCTCCTAATGATTTAAAAATAAAAGTAATTGAGGAGAGTGAAGCTAGGTCAAAAGACACTTGTACAAATAATGAAGATACATTGTATTGCAAAACAAAGCAGTTCAACTCCAAGAAAGGTATTCACAACACTTATAGTCATAAGAAACAAGATGATAACAACACTACAAAAGTAGGTTTCAAAGTTAAATGTTTCAGATGTGGAAAAATCGGACACAAAGCCAACAACTGTAGATCCAAACAAATGGGAAATAGTTTTAAAGCAGAGGCTGAATGTTTCTCTTCAAATTTGAACATTTTAGGTTCTACTTCATCTGATTGGTGTATTGATAGTGGATGTACATCGCACATGTGTGGAGAGAAATCACAGTTCAGAGATATCAAAAATTCAAACGGAATTTTGAAACTTGCTTCTAAAGGAAAGACATCTGACGTTTCTGGAACAGGAACGGTTTCACTGGAATTAAAAAATTCTGAAATCATACATTTGAATAACACTCTGTTTGTACCAGACTTGGCAACAAATCTAATGAGTGTCAGTAAAATAACAGACAAAGGATTTAAAGTGATTTTTGAAAAAGAGAAAGCTGTCGTCCAAAACCAAAGAGGAAATGTAATTGTGGCAGCTGAACGTCAGGGTGGTCTTTATTATGCCAAAAGTACAAAATCTGTAATGGTAAATGAAAAATCAAACTATACAAAAGAACCTGAGATCATAGATTGGCATAAGAAGTTAGGTCATCTAAACGAGGTTGACTTAAAAACAGCTTTAAAAAATGAATCTTTGAATGGATTAACCTTCAACATGAAAGACAAAATTGGAGAATGTGAAACGTGTATTAAAGGAAAATTGACACAAACACCATTTCAATCAAGAAAGATTGCAAATAATGTAGGCTTGTTAGAAGTCATACATTCTGACATTGTAGGTCCTATGAAAGTAACTACACCTGGAGGAAATAAGTATTTTGGAACATTCATTGATGAACATTCAAGATACTGCTATGTATATTTTTTGAAAAGTAAAGATGAAATTTTTGAACGTTTCAAAGAATATAAATATGAGGTGATAAATCAAACAGGAAATAAAATCAAGTTTCTGCAAACAGATAACGGCAAAGAATATTGTAATGGTGAATTTGACAAGTTCTTGAAAGAAAGTGGTATAAGGCGAAGACTAACAGTTCCATACACGCCGCAACAAAATGGTTTGGCTGAAAGAAAAAATAGAACATTATTGGATATGGCAAGATGTTTACTGATAGAATCAAATCTACCAGGATGTATGTGGGCTGAAGCTATTAACACATCTAACTATATAAGAAATCGATGCCCTTCAAAAGCTACTGAACACTTAACGCCATATGAAAAATGGACTGGAAGAAAGCCTTCAGCAAGACACTTGAAAGTATTTGGATCAAAAGTATTTGTATTAAACAAAGCTTCAAGAAAAGGAAAATTTTATCCAAAAGCGGAGCAAGGAATATTTGTGGGGTATGCAAGCAATTCAAAAACATACAGAATTTGGATGCCACAACAAAAGCAGGTAAAAATTGCAAGAGATGTAAAAGTTCTTTCAAAAATGTATTATGAAAGAAATGAAGATGTAAATGATTACAATCTTCTTGAGCAAAATAAAATAAAAGAAAGTGATAAAAAAAGATCAAGATTTTTGCATTATTCCGATCAAACAGAGCGAAAATAATAATGACCAGTCTGATTTTGACACTATATTTGAAGAAGAAAATGACAGTGAAATGGAAAATGATATTATTTTTGAAGATGCTATTGAAAATCAAGCTGATGATTCACCAAGCTCAAATGATATTGAAAATCAACCTGATGACTCACTAAGCTCAAATGAACATTTAGACACTGATGAAATAAGGGTATCACAGAAAAGGCAAAGAAAACCTCCTCTTTGGACAAAAGATTATCAAATGTCAGCTACCTGCAATGAAGATTCAAATTTAGAATCTTCAGAGGAATGGAATGAAGCAATAAAAGAGGAAATAAAAGCTCATTTAAAAAATGAAACTTGGGTGCTCGAGGATAGAAACAAAGAAATTAATGTAATTGGTTGTAAAATGGTATTAAAGAAGAAACTTAAACCAAATGGAGAGCTAGAAAGAAGAAAAGCACGATTAGTAGCAAAAGGATTTGCACAAAAACCAGGCATTGACTACGATGAAACTTTTGCTCCCGTAGCAAAGTTAAGTTCAATAAGACTTATGCTTGGACTTGCTGTTGAAGATGATCTAAGTATTGATCAAATGGACGTTTCAACTGCTTTTCTAAATGGAGAAATAAAAGAAAAAGTTTACATGGAACTTCCTAACAACTTTGAGAGATACCTCCAAGAAATAATGGTGGATGAGAGTGAAAATGAAGATAAAAAAACTATTTAACAAAACAAAGAAAATGATTACTGACTTAAAAAATGCTCAAAACAAAAAGGTTTGTCTACTAAAAAAGGCAGTTTATGGTTTAAAGCAATCAGGAAGACAGTGGTATATGAAGCTTGATGAAAAACTAAAGGAACTGAAATTCATACCATCTCAAGCTGATCCTTGTATATACATTTCAACAGTAGGTGGATGCAAATCAATAATCTCTGTATATGTAGATGACATTTTAATTGCTACAAAGAACCAAAAGTACCGCAATTACATCAAAGCCCAGCTCATGAAAACTTTTGAAATGAGAGATTTAGGTGAACTAAGCTATTGTCTGGGGGTAGAGTTCACAAGAAAGAATGGAAGGATATCAATGTCACAAACGAAATACATAAATGAAGTCCTGAAAAAATTCAATATGACTGACTGCAAACCAGCTGTAACTCCACTAACACCAGGTCTAAAATTGGTTAAAGGACATGAAAAAAATTGTAACTACCCATACCAAAATTTAATCGGTTCATTGATGTATTTGTCAATAGCCACAAGACCTGAATAACCCATGCTGTGAGTTACCTGAGCCAATATAACTCTTGTTTTGGAAAAGAACACTGGATTGCTGCAAAGAGGGTTCTCAGATATTTGCAAGGCTCAAAGAACTTGTGTCTTGAATTTTTCAAAACAGGAAAGCCATTAATTGGAGCAGCAGATGCAGATTGGGCATGCAGTGAAGACAGGAGATCATACACCGGTTACTGTTTTAAATTTGGCGGGGCTGTAATCTCCTGGGAATCAAAAAAGCAAAGGACTGTAGCTCTGTCTACGAGTGAAGCAGAATACATGTCATTGACTGAAGCAGCAAAAGAAGCCATTCATCTAAAACAATTAATTAATGATATTGGAAGACCTCAAGAAGTCATTGAAATATTTTGTGATAACCAATCAGCTATTACAATGGCTAAAAACTCCATTATAGGAAGTAAATCTAAACATATCAGTATCAGAGAACATTTTATACGGGAAAAAGTACAAAATGGAGAAATAAAATTGAATTACCAACCCACAGAATACATGGTTGCTGATATTTTTACTAAAGGACTAAGCGAACCAAAACATCACAAATTTCAAAAGTGCCAAGGACTTTTACCTAGCTAAGTTTGGTGAGGGGGGATGTTGAATATTGCAACCCAACTCATCTAGTCTGGATTAGTGATGGACCATCATATGTTTTTACATTGTACATATGAAGTTGTTTACAAAATATAATTCAGTGTTGTGTTGTGATTGTAAGAAAATAAAAGAGTTTACAACAAACTGTCTTTCATTAACTTTAATTTCACCAACACACACGATGCTTTTTCCACTCGCTCAGTAGCTGGCTTGAACCAAATCCTCCAACATCTTTGAGTAACACGCGCACAAGCACAAGCAACTGTGTTCACACTGGCTACTTTACACGCTTACTCGCTCAAAAGCTGGCGAGTTGGCGTGTAAAGTAGCGGCAGCGTCAACTTTTTCCAGAGCTTTTTTACAAGCAGCTTTTGAGCGAGTACGTCGTTCACACTGAGCTATTTTACTAGCTGCGTGTAAAAAAGCCGGCGTGTAACTTGTAAACTCGCCCCGTGTGAACGAGGCTTTAACATCCGTTCCATGCCGTTACCTTACCTGTCGCCTGCATAGAGATGCATGGATAATGGGAAGAAGATTATAATCCATGATTCATGTTTATGGCCCGTCTGTCGTCTGTCTCGTCACTCAGTCCGCTCCGCAGTCGTTTCCGTCGTTGTCCGTCCGTCTGCGTCGGTTCTTTTCTATCTGTTTGCATCTTCTTCTTCTTATCTTGTGTTGTGTTTACTGTTTAGTGTGTCAAGTCAAATAGGTTATGCATGCGACTTCACTTTCAGACTTAAAACGATTTTGTGAAGTGTGTATTTATTTGAATTAAAATAAAATAACAGGTAAACTACGAAAATCATAATAGTAGTTAGTTATTCTGTTTTTTCTTGCAGTCGCAGTCCAGGCATTTCTGATTCTGAAAGCTCCGAGAGTATGGGCTTTGAAGTAGCATATGACCCAGAAGAAAACATAAAAATTGTTCAAGCCATAAAAAACTATCCTGTCATTTATGATCTAAAACAATATCCTCCAATTGAATTTAAAAGAGCATCTGATGCAGCGTGGACACTTGTAGCTCAAGAATTGCGCATATCAGGTTGGTTTTTTTAATTAGGCCTAATTATGATTGCCTAGTTTTACTTTGGCCTTCTCATTTGGCTACTGAGTACTGATTGATATTCTAATTGCTCAACTAGCAACAACAACAATACAAGGGATTTGTACACAAGTTACCTCTGATTATTTAGACAATGAACATTGAAATTTTGTGTTCTGCTCCACTAACAATATCAATTCATGTAAATGTCCATGATAATAAATGATTTGATTTGATTTTAAATGGTTCAAGCATTCACTAAACTTAGGCCTTACTTATAAATTAATTTAACCCTAGGAGTGGCGAGACCGATTTTCAGTATGTGCTTTGTGGAGTGGCACGCTCATTTTGGTGAATTTGTAAGGGAGTTCTTCAAAAATCTGTATAAAATTAGTGTGTAGAGATAAACTATTGAACCGTATATTCATTTTGTTCGTAATAGTCAGTAGAATTCAAAAATGGTAATACAAACCAATTTTAGAAAGGTAGGCTAGATTTTTAGAAAAAAGAAAAAAAAGAAAATTTATAAATTTTTTAAATTTTATTTCAAAAGCAAACACGTGTCACATGTAACGTAATTTTTTATTGCACAATTCAAAATATGCATTTGTTCAGAATCTATTCCTCTACATAGACATATCATAATATACACAAAAGAATTATTTTTATAGATTTACTAGCAAAAAATTGGAAAACGTCAATTTCTTCAAGTACACGTTGATAGATCCACAAATGCCCTCTACTAATAAATCAATATGATAAAACCATAAATTTTTTGAAGCCAATAATATCATTCTATATAAGAATAACTAACTTAAATAAGATAAGTAATAGAATATTTGGTTTTCACAAAAGCAAAAATGTAAACAAAACAGCTGATCAGCTGTTATAGCCCACAAAACTTCACTAACTTTTTATCATATTTTGGATCACACATGTATAAATATTCATGCAAAATAATGCATAAATATTTCGCCTAATGCAAAATAATAAACTAAAACGAACATTACACTGTAAAATTAGTGATAAAACCCACACTTCGTCTTTGTTATCGGACAAAAACTCACGACAACGCCGCCATTTTAGGTTAGACGATGACAAGTGTTCTGTTCCTTTAGCTTTGAAAAATCAAAAGCTTCTATTTGTGTGACCAGCCTAACAACATTGAATTCTACTGTCCTTCGTCTACAAGAGCGTATATAAAACAACGTTTTTGTACTTGTGATTTAGAAATCGACATTTTATGTCGATCCGCCACATGAACAATACGTAAAAATAGGCTATTTAGAAAAATTGTTCATCAGCTGTTGGAATGTATTATGACGTTATACTTTATACAGAATAGAAGATTTCTTCATGCTTGTTGCAGTGGTACCACTTGCTTTTGTCAGAGACAAAAATTACGTCTGCTATTTATTTTTGAAATGACTTATCATTTACGATCGCGCAACAAAACATGGCGTTCGCGAGTTCGCGCGTATTTTTCGTTTAAATGTAACTCATTATAAGATAGATATATTTATGTTATAAGGTTCATTCTTATAATAAAATGAAACTTCGGAATCTTATCTTTCCATTGGTATAAGAGTTATGACATTTCACCGACTTTAAATGTGCCTAACATGCAACTGAAAAAAACGTTACAAAAATCGAGATATTCTGTCGCCCGCCACTCCAGCTGCACATTTTGAAATCGACATTTTCTGTCAATCTGCCACTCCTAGGGTTAAGTAGGCCTACTTTGGAAATTAGACAAGGGAAGGTTTTGGGATTGAAAATTGAGAAATTGGTGTATGAACTCAACGCAAGTGCTTTTTAAAGGAGGGCCTGTATCAAATTTTCTCTTTGATCGCTTGTCTGGTTGTCACACTTATTGGCCTATGCTTAAGCAAACATCCATTAAGCAGCGTCCCTTGCTTTAGGGCTAGTGTGCCAATGACATTACTGACAGGTGTAAAATAGAATCTGTTATATTTGACCACTTCTCTGAATCCAATCTTTCCCTCGGTTACTGAAGTGCGAGTTAGTTGTAGGCCTATCTATTTGTTTACTTACTTGTATAAATCCCACTGGAAGCTTTTTCAGCCATGGTCGTCATGGTAGTTGTTAGCCTTCACTCTTCAAGGAATTCTTCTACTGAATAATAGGCTTTATTTAATAGGAACATCTTCAGCATTTTCTTGATTTTAGCTTGATCTTCACAACTTCTGATTTCTTGTGGGAATTTATTAACAATTTTGCTTCCTGAATATTGAGGACTAGTCTGTGCTAGTGTAGTTCTGTGGTGGTTGATATGGATACTATTTTTTTGTCTTGTGCTGTAGCCTACCTATTGTAGGCCTAATTCATTATTTCTTGTGAAAAAATCGGGAAATTTAAGAACATTAAGGCTGATTCCAATATATATGCTGATGGCAGGGTCTTACCCTGCCAAATACTTCAAATACATTTCAAATACTTTATCTGAAGTTCCTTGAATAAAGGTTCGCAGTGCTCAATGAAGTGGGTTTTACAGATAATTATTAAAACACATTTTTGTAGTAGGAAGATTCTATTTGCCTCACTACAGATTCCCCAGAATGCAATTCCATAGCAAAGTACACTGTGGAAGCAGCCATAGTAAACTTTCAATAGGACATCTCTTTCAACTATATTTATCAGTCTTCTTATCAGGCAAGAACCTGTAAAGTTTACTATACATTTTACAGCAGAACCTCAATAGTTGTCCTTGGACACTTTGTGAATTAAGCCCAGGTGTTGATCCATCAAAATATCTGTAGGCTAACTAAAAAGAATACCTTTTGAAAATTTACCCACAGGGAATTAAAACACGAGATAAGTTTGTAGCAAAAAATTGTTGAATAACTTAGTAGGTCTACCTACCTATAGAAGATAAACAATCTTACCAACAAACACCTCTACTGTAGCCTACATCCTTTGGCTCCTTACTGCATGAAATAAGTTAGTTTGTAATATCCTGGGATAGGCCTACTAAAAGCAAGGTATTGAGTTTTTTCTTGCACAAAACGTTTTTAACCTTGGCAATCCAGCCAAGTACCAAATTTTAATCTGAATTCAAGTAGGTTAAAAATGTTAATCACTTCTAAACCACTTTATAAATACATCCTGTTAAGATTACAAACATTTGTGTAAAAAAATAATAGGCTAATCCCTAATGAGTCTTAACCCTTTGTCAGTGTCTTTGATTTTGAAACATGATCATTGAGACATGGAGTTTTTTCCGTGTGTTGAAACATTGACAAACAACATTTGTATAGGTACATATGGGCCATTCTTCAGAAAAGGACAGATTTAAATTTTTTATTTTATTTATTTTTTTTTTTAGATATTTTAATTATGACTCTTTTTAATATTTACCCATTGCAATGGTCACACTAAATAAAAATGACTTTCCCAGATTTTTAGTATTTAAAAACTAGCATGTCCACGGAAGTGACTATCACAACTGCAAATTTTACAAATAAAGTTAAATAACAAACATAGATATTAACACATGATATAAACAACAGAAAAAACCAAACTGATTCTATGTTCAAGATGGTTTCTTCTTCTCTGTAAAAAAATAGTGGTGAAAGTTGGCCAGTGCTGCCTGGTGGATATTTTGGAACTATTTATGCCTGTCCACAGATGTGATGCAGGCTTTGGTGACTGAGTTTCTTTGTTTTTTTTTTACCTTTAATAGAATGGAAAAAGTAAAATGAACAAAAAATTATTAATATTCAATGTCTAGATAGCCAACAGCAATTGGGTTTTATAATTTTTATTTCAAATTTGTTAGTAAAATCAGCTAATCTTAAGCTAAACCTAGAGGGGGTGACTGTCCACAGTCCTGTTTTGTGGGGGTGGTGTGAGATCTAAATAATGTTCAATCGGTTCCTAGTAAGATGCACGCAAGGTACTGTTACTCTTAAAGTTACCGGCTGGGATAACACATACCTATTTCTCTATAAAAACAAATGCGCTTGGAGGAAAACTCCGTGGTGTCACAGACGAAAGGTTAAACGTGTGTAAATGTGTGTGTAGAGTGAATATGAGAATATATTTTTGAAAATTTTTTTACGTTAATTCGTCCTAGGCATGTTAATGTTTTCTCATTCATATTCACAATTGGGTTAGGCCTAGTTAGATAGGCTAGTTTGAATATTTTTGTCTTGGCCTATATTAACCCTTAGGTTCCAAAAGTAAGAAAATACCACATGTGACATATAATGCAAATGTTCTGTATTTAGTCTATTTTTTTTAGTAAAAACTTTCCTGATTTGTTAAGTATGCAAAGGTTTACTCATGATGTTTGGAAACTTCATTTCAGAGGGCAGTGTAAGGCAGAGGTGGACAAATATTCGAGGATGTTTCAAACGGTACTTGAAAAATAAAGCAATGGGAAAAAATACAAAGGATTATTATCTTGCCGACTATTTAGAATTTATTATCCCTTTCACCAAAATTAATTTGGAGAGGTAAGCATTGTTTTAATCTTCTGTAGTACCCAGGCCTACCTTTCATGAATTTCTTGTTTGCAAACAATACACTGTCTCTGTCCCAGACACTTCAATCGTGACTCGTCAACAATGCTAAAACTGATGGTCATTGTGCTGTATACATGCCTAGTTCGTAAGTTTACTGATTCTTTGTCAGATGTCACCACCTACCAGGTTGGGTCGTGACGAAGAAGAGAAGTTATGAACCATAGCATTCTTCTAATCGCCTCGTTCAAGGATTCACCACTAACATTTAAACAAACTGACTGATATATGCAGGGCTGTTTAACCCATGTACGCGAACTAAGCGGTCGCATATGGTGCCACACAAAAGTGGCGCCAACGGGACACAATTTTTTTTTTTCAGAAGACAAAATTGGAAACAACTTTACTGACAAATAAACAACTTAATTATTTTATTGTTTTTTTTTTTTTTGCTCAGTGTTCAAGTATTCAAAGCACCACACCAAAGGCATTTATTCTGTTTGTACTAACCGCACTTGAATACTTGTGCAGCACTTCAACTCAAGGAATCAAGGCATTGATTTGCAGTTTCAATTAGTAGTGAGCTGACGCTTGGCAGCGTACAGCACAGCGCCTGTGGGTTTCAATTCATGACTCATGCTGATGATAAGCGCGCAGCGCCACTTGTCACAACAAGAAACTTTCCCCTCCCTTCTACCCCTGATCACTCTCCCCTCCTAGAGCAGGGGTCCTATTTTTGAAATGGTTGACTGTTGAGTTGAGTGTCGAGTCATTCTATTTCCAATCGTTTCGTATTTTTGAAACGATTGACGGTGGACTTATACAACCAAAACTACTCAACACCTATCGAGCTGTTGGAGCTGAGTGGAGGTTGACTGCACTTTCTTCTTCCTCTCTTTCGGCAAAAAATTACTCTTTTTGAGTCGACGCCATATTGTTTTGTTATTGATTTAATTTACTAATTGCGATTTAGAGGTTTTGTATTTGTTGTCAATGTCTTAGCACCCAATACTTTATGCGATTGTTAATTTTATTTACTGTGTCAATACAAGACTATTTAATCTATTTACTTTGTTATAAGACTATTTAATTTGTTTGAAATACACTAGGCATACTAATTGAACTTATTAAAAGATAATTATTGTTATTAGACCTATAAGGTATTAAAGATTGTGGTAGAGAGAAACAATATCATAGTTTGTTTCAATACCATTCACCAAATAAAGGGATCAAATTAATTTAAGTTACGATAAGCTTTCAGTGCAATGGCAAATAGCCATAAGCTTTAACCTAAATAAAACACAATTAAAAATAACATGAAACAAAACGATGAAGAAAACTAAAATAAGGTGATGTGTTCTGAAATAGATACGAGGAAAGCAAATAATAATGTATTTAGGATATGCCTAAACTTATAATGAGCTACACCATAAAACAAACAAACATCCATAGTAAATTTTATTGTTAATACTTATAAGTTTATAAGGTACTTTTGCAATCACTAAGATTAAGCAAGACATAACCTCAATCCAATCTCTCAAGAACGGAGTTGACAGTTTACCTCAGTGTCTCGAAATATGGTAGATTGAGATTAGCTGATCCAGATTTTAGAGTAAGAAGAGGTAAAATCGAAGATCACAAAAACTCTGCATTGTGATTGGTTTAAAATGACGTCATCTGAATTTCGGGCGGTCGTATGCTCTACATTTCCAAAACGAGTCACTCAACTAGTGATTTCCAACTCACTTCCAAACTGTTGGATTTCAAAAATACCAAATCCTGTTGTTGGTTGAGTTGATTGTTGACTGTAGAGTCAACTGTCAACCATTTCAAAAATAGGGCCCCAGAACAAAGCTAGGAGAGTTAATTTTTTACTGAGTTAATCCTCTCTTGTCATGTACCTACACCTGTTTTTCATTGTAATAGGCTTTATAAAAACGTATATTGTATCCAAGTTATCCTGTAAAAATTGATTTCACATTATATTGTTAACTTTGGATTATGATGAGTAAAAGTGTAAAAATGTTAAATTTCTATGAATAATAAACAGTAGTTGAAAAAAGTCTTTTATTGCAAGAATTCTTCTAAAAGTTCTTCCCAAAAATTTTACAAATAGGGTTAAGTTATGTTCATGGTGGGTGGGGGGGGAATTCGAGGTGGCACTGATTCGGGTGTTCGCTTAACTCTGAACAATTCCTAGAACCGGCCCTGGATATGTGGCACTACATTAACACTAAAAGCGATCATAATTCATTGCTAGTTTAGCTTACTTCTTCTAACATGTGCATTGTAAAATCCTAGATTGTCATTCATGTTGAGATATTTTGATTATGATCACAACTTTACCAAAAATGTCTTAAATAAAGCGTAGCTTGTAGGTCTAAACCGTCCTTGAGCATTTTACAAACTAATCATTTCAAGGCAACTAAAAAAATGTGCTAACTTTAAATTCAGCTCATTGTAAATGAAACATTTGAGCTCCAACTGTAGTTTATTACTTTAAATTTATTTCCAGGCAATCTCAAAAGCTCAGCAACTACTTTCATGAAAATGATCCCTTGAGTGATAACACAAGCTTAAGCGATATCAAGGAAGAGACTGAGGTTAAAGAAGAGATCGAGGTTAGTCTTGTTGATTCTGACGGGGAAGAAGAAAAGTATGTAATATCCACCTCTAACACTCCCAATGGGGTTACGGTCCCTGAGCCGGGCAGCAATCCAGATTGGGACTTCTTATCTAGTTTGTTGCCCGATGTTCGCAAGATGACTCCCAAACAGAAAGACAAGTTTAGAAATGCTATGTTAAATGCAATCGATGTAGCCTTGTATGGAGAGGACATAGAATGCTGAACATTTTGAGTTTCTTGTATATATATATGTAAAAATAAAAGTTTGTATGTTTTTTATTTACTAAGTTTAATTACTCCTTTAGTGTGATTTCTTATGATTTAGTTCTTTTTGGTGTTCATGAATAGTTGCACGGTAAAATGTTTTCTAAAATTCATTTGATTTTTACTTTTGTCAAAAAATATTTGTAGGATATTGAGAATATTTTTTGAATAATTTTAGACTGGTTCAAACACAAAGGCGAATTTTCAGTTAGTTTCTTTCCTGGATCATTTCTGCTTGTTTTACACTTGTAATTTGTGTTTCCACTTGTGCAAATTTTTTGGATCGCAGATAAAAATTGCCTTAATTCAATAAGTACTAAGTAGCTACATTAGAGTCAAATATTTTTAAACCCTCAAAATTTTGAATGAGTAAGAGCTGCTCTAATTTAGTCTGCGAAAAGCATATGTTATCTACGTTAAATAATCTGGTACTAAATAACTAATTTCTTGCTCATGCCGATATTATATGAGTGCAATTCAGTTCCTTTTGAAGGATCCGAAGCCTTGAGCAAGTGCTTGTTTTGCATATTGCATTACGCTTGGGTTTGACATTTTATGATTCGTCATTTATTTCTGGCCCTCTTCTTACAGATATGTGCCGTAATGATCCACCAGGATATTAAGTAGTACGCATAAAACATTATGTACATAATTTATTTACATAAGAATTTCTATAAACAAAACTAGTAACATGATAAAGTTTCTGTACTAATACATATCACATTCAAGATCACTTAAAAATATGCCAAGTGAAATAAGCTAGGTTGGTTCCCATAGTCCACATACCATCACGTTATTCACATAAACCTCAAAGGACAGGCTCATTTAAATATTCCGTTCCTATAATCTTTTCAACTAAGTGTTTGTACTTTATTTTGTAAAGTCCATTATTAAAATCTAAACATATAAAGACTTTCTTTGGTTATTGATACTAGAATCCATCACAAACAATCATTTTAGAACCATCCATGGTATGTTAGATCTATTATAAGAAATAATCACTACTTTAGTGGTATTTTTTCAGTTTATTCTGGGAGCTCTGTCCTATTACAATTGAGCTTTTAATTTACTGTGGCAGCTGATAATGAAAACCACACAAAATTTTCAAACGATGAGTTTAATAATTATGCTTTTAAAATAATGTCTTCTCCCTTATAAAATACTACCAGGTAAACATTGAATGTAGGTAATCGATTACCTCTGAGTATTCTAGTTGACGTAATAACGTAATAAAGGCCTTCGGACTTGCTATTTGATAAATAAATAAGATTTACTTGTCAATCTTTAATGTTTTTTTTTCTACTTTCTATTTGCAATTAGCACCACAATCTCTATATCAAGGCAATCCATACCAGGAACTGTTAAAAAACTATCCTTAACAATTATTTTCACAAATTATTTCAGTTATCAAGGGGATCTAGAAAAATATAACAATTTGGATCTAGCCTATTCTAAGTTTTACAATAACTTTTTGTATAAACATAATTCTCTATTATCTGTGTCATTTCATATATTTCTATATCTAAACATACATGTTTAAAACAGGATGTTTCGGATTTTAACAAAAAGACGCGAGAAACTTATGGTTTGAACAAAAGTTGTAGAAAGAGTGCCCAAAAAAGATTATATTTAAGAAACATAAATATTGAGTTTACAAAGCAGTGGTGAGGTTTCAATAATGTTTAACTGTAAATATCACATAAAATAGTAGGCCTACTACTAAAGATCCATACTAAATTGTAATCGAAGTAAGAAATATATATTGTATATTTCAGCTTCACTAGAAACGTTAAAACTAGGCAGATGCTGTTAAAATGTTACCATTCAATGATATCACTGGATGAATTTTATTAGTTTTGTAAACTAATAATGAACTTGGAAGATTATTCAATTACTAACAGAAATTTATATCTGACCAACTACAACAAAGATTACATCTGACTAATTACATTTTCATTTATCATATGAAAATAAATTATAAAAAATATGTCCATGGTTATTATAAAAAATATGTGTCAGTTAACAACTTAACGTTACAAATAGTTTCTGACAGCCTATGTGAATGAAAGTAGAATTTCTCTCAAACAACCAACCGTTAACTTTAACAGCTTGATAATACTACTATAGACTAGATTCATACTAATACATAGCATTGAAACATTGACACACTTCCAATTGCAAAATCACGAGTCGCGGACAGATCCGAATCCTTATTCTACAATATCAACTAAATCGTCAGCACCGGAAGCTAGTAACCCTAGGTTACAAACCTATCTTAGATTTGTTCAAAATAATATCCTCAATAGTTTTTCGAACGGGTAAATATAACCTAAGTAACGGTATTGATCACAACGGCGGTTTGACCGCGCCCGATATGTAACATATCTAATGTCGGCAATCCTCAACTACTGTCGGCCGACACAGTGCTGTTGACGGACATGTTGTTCTCGTTGCTCAGTAAATGTTCGGCTGCAGGCTGCAGTTGTGGCTGGCCTTGGACCTGTTGTGACACTGGTAAATTACCACAGTTTGAATCTTCAATTGCTTTCCTCAGCTGAAACATGAATGGGTTTTTGTAATTAAACTGTAAAAAAATAGCTGTTTACCGTTCAGTAATCCTTTACACTAGTACAATAATTTTCTCTGTTGACTTATTTGTTCCCAACATAAGTATTTTTCATTTGATAACGAGAGCTCGCCCTGTGGTCGAAAACTCAACCAAAAGTAAGTATTGTAAGGGTATTGTGCAAACTTCTCTATTTTCACCCCACACTATTATAAAACATGTGATTGGAATTTGTTTGGATTTTCTCTTTATATTTTGTTGTTATTTTGTCAACCGCATAGCAACCCATAAGGCCCATGTTGATTTTTAAAATATTTCAAATTCATTTCCCATGCTTATTTTTAGCCTATTTTAATTTATAAAGGGAAATGCACATCTACAGGAAAATATCTTTCATTTGGTACCAACCACGCGTAATTCGGTCCAGTAGTATGGCAAGGCTTGCTCTCGTAAGTTTTGCTAAAGGTTTTTTAGTATATAAGATTTTGTTTGAACTATTCTTGCTGATTAATTTCTATCACATTTCATGATTTAATCGTAACCTTATCTTCTTAATCTTCTATTCAATTTATCAAATAATAATTTTTGGACCTTTTATACCCTCAATAGACACACAGGCTCATTGCACATGTCAGGCTTATTCTATTAGCTTTTTTACACATTTTGCTAAACAATTATATGCTTTATTTATATTAACTTTATTTACTTTGTAGTACAGGTAAAATAGGGTTTTATAAACAACAAAATTTGTACATCCATGAAATTTCACCTGTGAGTTACTAATAATATGAGAAATGAAGATCCGATAAGTCCCCAAAATTTTGGGCGTCCTAAGGCCCTTTTTGGGTCCCTTTTTGTTCTGAAGGGCCCTTGATCCTGAATAATTTTGTTTTTACGATTAAGGTCGAGTGAGGTGTGGTTTTCGATGGTTTTAGTTATCTTAAATCGATTGGGACTAGTTTTAAGTGTATTAAACCACTCCATACAGGGTGTTTCGAAATATTATTACTTTTTACGATATTTAAACATTTATTCATAAAGTAATAAAATTAGTTACCTCCATGCTCCATATAAAAGGGGATAATTGAAAATAATTGTAATTCTTTACTACGTAAGGGAAAAGGATCCCAAGGAGTAAGAGAAAATATTAGATACCCCCGTCACAGCAAACCTGCAGACCTAGTGAATTTCCGTTTTACTTACTTGATTTTCAATTAAATCTAAAATAGCATTGCGTTTCACGATTACCTAGGTTTGCTGCTACAAGGAGGCTAATAAAGTGTGTTTATAGTAAAATATTAATAGCCTAGTATAAAACAAATAAATTTGACAAGTTTGATCAAGATATATCTATTAACAAACAAACAAAATCATTTTACGCTATTCTACATAAGAATAACATGGGAATTTTAAATTTACAATTTTAGTATTTTTATCCGTAACTAATAACCATACAAAAACACGTTAATATAATAAATTATTTGTGTTTAAGCTATTTAAAATGTTCTAGAGAAAAATTGGGAAACTTTGTGTATTTAGGGTAAAGTAATTGAGAAAACTCAATTTTTACCTCATAAACCTCGTTCCCAATGTTCAGGACAAAAATGCTTTTACCGACAATGCCGCACTGATGTCTTAGTGCTGGCCTGGTCGTCATAACCATTAAAGACAACCTTACTTGTATTAATTGAAAATAATTTTCAGGAACTTAAGATACAAGTTGCAAACGTCAGTATGTATGAAAGGTGTTTTTGTTGCACCACATTGTTCGTGCTTTAATATTGGTGTTGCCTGTTCTGCAATATGCAAGGTTTGTAAAGGGGAATCCCACTTGAACACCAACTTGAACAAAATCAGTAAATATGGACAAGTTGCTAAGAATAATAAAATTGTTAATGAGTCGTCTGAGAATAATTATTGTGATGATGAAATTGTAAAGAGATATACTACGGAAATTGTAAACAAATAGCTTTAGTTTAAGTAAATTTTTAGTTTAAGTCATTTTAATATGTAATGTAAGGATACAAATTCAATTGTTTTAATTTTTAATTAATTTAAAAAACCGTAAATAACTACTAAATACCTAAGAAAAATACATATCAATTTGAAATTGGTCTTAATAGATTTGCATAAAAAACACATTGAAAGATTATTCACACCACCTTAAAAGTTGAAATTTTTGCGTGGTAACCTATGTTATTATGTTATAGTGTAAAACTCAATCCATACCCTTTTACCCATCATATAACCTAACCCCCCCCCCCCTTAAGGAGGATAACTTATCCCCCTTTAACTTCCCATGTAGGAAATAAGCTATTACCGAAGGTCTTATGGTAAAACATAGACCCGAAACCGATTTACGTTTTCATTTCGATGCCCCCAGAAGCCTAAAGCACATTCCACACAAAATATTATATATGTGTTTATATACATATATATAATAAATATATCCATGTTATATACGCGTTCGTAAACATGATAACTCGAGTAATTTTGGTTCAATTTTAACAAAACCGGCATAATCGGTCCATGGAACAGGGTTTTATGTGGTAAAAAATGGTAATCTTTAACCCTCAAAATACAAAGTTTCCCAATTTCTCTAGAGCATTTTTAAGAGCTTAAAGAAAACAAATAATTTAGTATATTAATATTAACGTGTTTTGTAAGTGTATTAGTTACGAATGAAATTAAAAAATTGTAAACTTAAAATTCCATGTTATTCTTAAGGAGAATAGTGTAAAATGATTTTGTTTGTTTGTTTATAGATATGTCTTAATAAAACTTGTCAAATTTATTTGTTTTATACTAGGCTATTAATATTTTACTATAAACACACTTTATTAGCCTCCTTGTAGCAGCAAACCTAAGTATTAATTAAACTCAATGCTATTTTAGATTTAATTGAAAATCGGGCAAATGAAAATTAGCTTAGTTTGCAGGTTTGCTGTGACGGGGGTATTTAAATATTTTCTCTTACTCCTTGTGATGCTTCCCTCTTATATAGCAAATAATTAAATTAATTAATTTTCAATAATCCTCTTTTATATAGAGCATGGAGGTAATTAATTTTATTACTTTATGAATAAATCTTTAAATATTGTAAAAAGTATATTTATATTTTGAAACACCCTGTATGGAGTGGTTTAATACACTTAAAACTAGTCCCAATCAATTCAAAATAACTAAAACCATCGAACAAAACACCTCACTCGACCATAAACGTAAAAACAAATTTATTCAGGAACATGGGCCCTTCGGAACAAAAAGGGCCCCAAAAAGGGCCTTAGGACGCCCAAAATTTTGGGGACTCATCGGATCTTCATTTCTCATATTATTAGTAACTTACGGGTGAAATATCATGAATGTACAAATTTTGTTGTTTATATGGAGTGTTTTTGTATTATTTTACCTGTACTATTGCTATTCATTTCAGATTTATGTATTTTTTATTGAATAACTGTTCTAATTTGTCATTTACATTGATGGAATAAAGACATAATTCATTCATTTACTCAATTGTAATTGTCTCAAGAAAGTCAGACTATTTCGTCAGAGGATCTCTAAAATATCTTACCCTAATTATTTAAAAATTTAAATCAATCGAAAATGGTTGAACTTAGTTAACTATTTACCTCTTTGAGAGCCACAACGCCGATGAGGCGGCCGATTGTTGTGACGTACGCATGGTTTACCCCCACCAGGGAGAATATTGAGTGAACTTTGAGTAAACTCGTCTTCTCCACCAGCTGGAATGGAGCAGGGTCGATATGACATTGGTCAAAGCTCACTCTTTCCTTCATCTCCTCTTCTTCCCAATGTTTCTGGTCCTCCGGCGACATGTCAATCACTCGCTCCTTCGGCTGTAACAGTTAAATACATTTTTCACTATTCATAAACAAATATGTTGTCACACGTTTGATTGGTAGTGAGTTCAACTCAGGAAACAGTTTTAATTGAAAGAAGTGTTTAATTTTATTTTAAACCATATTTGTTGGAAGAAGATACAATTAAACCAATACAATTTATTTCTGTTACTATATAAGCTCTTCTACTTAACACCCTATATTTAATACCATGCATTTTAAATTAAAAATTTAAATTTAAAAACTAGTTATCTGCTTATATTTTTACAAAAACAACATGAAAAACTTAGTTTTGCTGGACACATAGTGACAATAGAAACACAGGACATAAGTTGCAAAGACAAATAGCTTATGGGCCGACCATGCGCTTTCAGCTCTAGTAAGTTGTGCCAGAAATACATGTGTGACGAGCAAAGAAAAGCCAGAGCGGCAAGCACTGTGTGGAAATTCATATCACACAGGGCACAGGGTCTTCCTCCACCGTGAGTGTTGTAGTACATCCTGGCAATGTTGGCTTTGAACTAGACATGGCTCAAGTGTACCATTGAACGTTTCCCCTGGTCCTTTACTTCTTTGTGATTGTGTAAAGATTTTTGTTTCTGGTGCCAGTATTACACATTAGACTGCTATCCTCACAAAAACATCCTAAACATCTAGGCCTTGTGCTATGTTGCATCCTTAAATATATATGTATAATAGTGGACTAGTTAGTTTGCAGTCAACTCACCAGCTGAACCTTCTTGTACGGGCCAGGACTGGCTGGAGTGGCTATAGTGTTCTGATGACTATAGCTTTGTTCTCCTCGCCCAATCTCCACCCCTGCTTCAGGATCAGGTTCTACGTCTTGTAGTGTGGCTGACTTGTGGAAGATGGCCTCAAACGCCATCCGAATCCTAAGCAGATGATGAATTTCAGTTATTCTCTCCATTCTAATTCCCTTTGTGGATTAGGTTTGATGATTTTTAATTCAGACAAAATGAAAACACAAACATCATTATTTTGGTAAAATCCCTTTCAACTCGTTAAACTAAAACCATAGTAAAGTGTTCAAATGAAAATGAAAATTGCTAGACAACGGTCTCTGTTTCCATAGCGCAGGTCAATTTTCAAGAAAATTTTGAGACAAGTGTAGTTAAAATAACATAATCCTTACACGCTTGCTACTGCAATAGTACGCAATTATTCATTCACATGGACCAGCGACGCACATATGCGACGGCCGGTTTCCACCTATAGACTGTCATCGCATATATGCGATAGCTAGTCACATTAAAAATGGACTGCGGTCAGCGGTCGCATATTTACGTCCGGGTTCTAATATTATTAAAATTGTTATATCTTTGTAACGGTCTATTTGAAGGCACTGAATTCCCTGCAGTGGTCTACAGAGATGTCTGACGCACAACTGCGTCGCTTGGTCTGTGGATATGATGATTGGTGACGTCATATGATAGTTGTAAAAACTGGTCTTTACTTTTCTGCATCACTGTATGTATGTATGCAGTATGTATGCTGCATTATCCTATGTAGCTTTTATATTTGTTCAGTTATAAACTGTTCTTGAATAATCTGGTTTGTTTGCTTACTTTCACCTCAAAACACAAACAAAAATGAACTGTCCCATATATGTGACGTTTGGTCTATTTAAAGAAAACTGATGATTTTCACTATTGTCTTCGCTGTAGATCGGGCATCGCAAATATGCAACATTACAAAAGGTTATAAAAAATACAAAAAAACAAGGATAAATTATTTACAAACACGATTGTAGCGTATTACAAAACAATGTAAATGATCACTGTTTTACAGGTTTTCGCCCGTGGTCTGTGTGTACTGTTAACCAAGTGACAGTCGGTCTATGCATAAGATTCAAATGTATACCTCGGTCTGTGGCAATGACCGCAGCGTCGCATATATGTGACGCTCAGTAGCGAACGTGTTAAACCTTTAGTACCGTATCTAAATACCAAAAATTGAATAATTGAAAAAAAACTATAAACTATCTATCTGTAACTGCCTCACTCCCTGTATTTTGGCTTGGAATTTACTGTTAACATACAGTTTTAGTTGAGAGTGATTAAAATGCCTTAAAAAACTACCTTGGGTTATCTCATTGAACCCAAAATAGCATTTAAATTCCAAACATTGCTCAAAACAATTTATTATCCTAAATTTCCTCACTGCCTTTGTTTATTTACATTTTTTTATGCGCTAAATTTATAGATGGTAGATGTCTAGTCACTTCATTAGAACATGCAATATTTTGATGCACAAATTGCAGAGACGTTTCTAGTCTACTTAACCTATGAGCTAAATGGCTATGACCTATGAGTTTACCTGCTCTCAGCCCCAGTAACAGTAGTGTAGGGAGTGACTGTTGGTGTCAAAACAGGACTGAAATTTCTCAAATTGAATGAATTTGTTTTTTTCAAGATCGATTTCTTTGGCTGCGTTCCAAACACTGGGAAGTGGGTGTGTGACTGAAACACAAAATCATATTTGATCAATTCTTTTTAGACATTTCTATACCAATCCAACAAAGGAAACCAAAAGGGCAAGTTGTATCATAAGAATAATTTTTAAAAACTAATCTCTGTCATTTTGCCTCTGATTGTTGTACTGTAATTGACATTCAATGGGAGAAATTACATCTAAATATCCAGGTCAAATTATCATGGTGCCAAAATACCACGGTTATTTATAATACAAAACTGTGGTACTAACTCAGACCAGGTGGTTTTCTAGGATCACTTATCCTAAGAATCCCTGGTATTACTCTTAGACTAAGATCTCTTCTCACCTGTAAGCCACTGTCCAGTTCATGGTTTGACATCTGCTTCACTCGTAGAATGTCCGGAGCTGGGATAACCTCAAATCTTGATGGTCGTCTTTGCCTCTGAGCTTCCTCCCGTCGTTTCCTCTCTTCTTCTCTCATTCTGAAAAAATGTTACGTAAAAATGTGGCCAAAGTATTACAACACCTTTTGTCAATCTGTTCATGAAAAGCACAAAGAACATTATTGTACTACTTGATTTATTGGGTCGAGCACATTTTCATTTTTTTGGATGGACAGGGCCGTTAAGGGTCAGTGGAGCCCTGGGCAAACCCAAAAGCAGTGCCCCCTTTTTTCCATGTGCAGGCAGGCGGTGGTTGAGGGGCACCCGGTGGGCGCCCCCTAACCTCCGGCGCCCCTGGGCATATGCCCAGTCTGCCCGTTTATAAAAGCGGGCCTGTGGATGGATGGAATAACTGTATTAACGGTTTTAGCCAAAACTTGATGTCCTATGGGAGGTTGATTTTTCATTAGGCTTTCCACGTATGATAAAAATAGGGAAATTCGCTAAAACAACAAAATGTGTGAAGTAACAGTTAGTCATCATTAAATGTTAACAAGAGTGCTTGTTCATAATTTGTTTAAAAATCGGTAAGTCGGTGGCTCAGTCGGTAGAGCTTGGACTTCGGGCCCAAGGCAGCCCGATTTCACTACTCACGATTCTAAAGGTGCTAGCAATTTAAAGTTTTTTTTTTTAACTGTTAAAAGATGAGTAAGGTAACCTTATACCTTGCGCTTATGAATTGAAGATTATACATCACAACTGAACATTCCATACCCATAATAAAGTTGTTGAAAGTCTTTGAGAAAAAATAATGAGTTATGATGGCTATAGCTATGGTCTATTAATTTATAGATGGGTTATCTACTTCGGTATCCGTTAGTCTATGTTATTACCTCTCTTGAGCCTCTCGCTGCCACTGAGCTACGACCTGCAGTCTCCTCTCTCTCCCCACGTGTCGTTCTATCACCTTTATCAACTCTATCCTCTGTATTGATCCCAGCAGTATCATGTTCTCTGAAAACACATCCATTTTGACAAAACAGACTTTCACTCAAAGACACCTTGGTACAGGACTTTGTCTAAACAAAGAAAACTAGAACTAAGCTTCCATTGTATATTGCCGGGATTCAATTTACAAAATTCTGAGGGAATGACCATGACTTGCCAACAAAGCATTTCTGGAGCCATGATAAGATGTTTTCTTTATCTTGACACGTGGAATAAGCTCTCAAAGTTATTGCACAACCTCGTCAATCGCACTGTATATATGGACTACAATTAGAACCAGTGGTTGTTTACCCAAAGATGACCTGTACTTATGTCAAACTAACTATCCCCATCAATAGAACGTTGCATTGTAGTCAAGAGACCTTAGAATTTATAAAAGGTTTGTTCTACACTTTTGACATGTCTCTCCTTGTTCTTTTGGATCGTCTTAGCGTATACTGTAATGCAAATAAGAAATTCATCGTGACAAAAAGACATTTACGCCACACTACATTATTTTGACGAACTTCCCACGCAAGGATTTAGTCCAGAAAACAGCTGTTTGCCGCCAGCTTATTCAAATGGGGTTTCATTGCGTACTACTGTGCTGCAATGAGTTTTGCCGGACACCAATCAGCTGATTATACTGTATTTAGGTGGCAGTGAGTGGTTATAAACAAAAACATAACCTCTCTTAGAGGTTATGACTAGTGATTTTTAGTCCTTTAGTTGGTGGAAATATATAAGGATTTGTACGGATTTAGTAGTATCGCGTAAACTATCGTACGTAACTCGTCCAAAATGTCCGGTAAACACTTATTTTCAGGACTAGTAACGTAATATACTATTGGTTTTTTTTGTGAGTAAATGACAAAATAGTTTTGTTTCCTCAAAGACCTCATGATCTGATTTCATTGTTTATTCAGTACTCAGTAGGTATGTTAAAATAAAACAAACACCAAAATAGTCTAACTCACCTGGGTTTTCAACTAGTGGAAACACTCGAAGCCTTCTGTTTTCTTTTAACACTTTCTTAAGATCGTGATAAGTCATGTTTTTCCAAATAAACTTTACCTCTCTGACCATAAAATCCTCCACAAATACATTGTACATCCCTGAAACATTGAACAACATTAGACTCCATTACATTTTACACATTGTGTTGAATAATATATGATGGTTGTTTTAATATTTAAATTTGTTGATGGTTACAACATTTTTTACAACTTTTATTTAAAAAAATGTCATACATTAACAAGAGGTGATTTGAGCGGAAAAAGTTGTGTAACATTTATTTGCTAATATTTGTTCATGATTTACCTGAGCTTGATGGCAACAGATCTGGCAGGTAGGGGAGTTTCTTTATTAGAATAATACTGTCGTAGAGTGACGGCTGGAGCAGGGCTGCAATGGCATTAGCGATCAACACTGCAATCTAAAATAAAGTAATTAGTTGTATCATTGGTTATTGGATACTAAAGTAGACATCCCAGCTATATGGACCAGCTGTCAACATTTTCTACTTTAGAACATAGTTGGTTGAGCCAGCCACAGAATGCGTAAAAATGTCTAAAGTTCTACTTTCGACCTATTTTTCCAATTTTGACCTAGCTAATGGGTCATAGCAGTTGCTTTAGCTCACAATAAGTTATTCCATCAGTTTGACTTGGTAAAAGAGGGTATATGATTAGGTAAAACTACTTTTGGTAAGTTTGACTTGTATATGATTTGGTTTGTGGTCAGAATTGGGAGGTAACAGGGTTATAGACAGTAAACAAACTTTCAGTAACACACATTTAAAAATTTCTCACAGCTAATCATAAAAGAGAAAACACACCCGAGATTATTTTAAAAGAAAAATCTTACTTTCGAATGAGCACGAGACTCTTAAGTTATTTTATACTTGTGAATGAACATTTAGCGCTATGTTATCCATTCAAGTTTAAATCAATTTATCTATAAACCACAAATGTCTAATTCATCACACACAGATAATCATAATTACCATGATGGGAATGATGTGAGTGATCTGCCCTGTCATCTCAAACACGATGACAGACACGGAGATGGTGTGAGTGACTGCGCCAGAGAGAGCTGCCGCGCCGACTGTCGCGTATCCTCCTGCGCCGACCATACATGTTAAACCATCTTGTTTAATGTTCACTCATCAACAGCCTTAATTGTGAGTAAATTATTTTTTACAAGTTTTCCATTTATAAAACTAATGTACACAATCTACTGGTTGTGTTATCAATCTAAAATTACCTGATTAAAATGTTCTAGTTTTAACTTTTACACCCATAGTAGATTCAGATTCTCTTGAGCCGTGTTTACATGAAGCCACTTAAAATGTGGCTTAATATCTGTCATAATATGCTTTCAGAAGGAAAAACAACAGAAAAACAATCAACTCATTTGCAGAAAAAGTTGTCAACAGTCAAAACATACTTGAGAACTTGTATAAACATACACTGAATTTGTGCTACAGAAATATTTTAAACGTGTGTTTGATAACTATAGTCTACTATGTCTTTGTACCTTTATTCTTGGTATGGATAAAACATAAACACAGAGTTTAAAAATTAAAAAATGTAAGGCTTAAAAGTTTAAAATCACTCCTTGTTGTCTTCCTTTGGTCACTGAAAGAATATGGCCATCATAGTAGAATACACTGTTGCAATATAGTTTTAGATGATTAAAGCTATGTAACATTGATTTTTCTTGTTTCAGTGTTGTCAGGGGATTTTCATCAAACATCGACAATACCTGGGATAATGGGAGTGCTAAACTTCCCGTGACGGACTCCCTGGGGAAAAGACAGGTGAATGAGTTCCCCTACCACTCTGCCAAACGCTGCTCCTATCTTGAACACAGGGATAAAACTACCGGACGGAACAGGAATTGTAGAGCAAACAATGGAGAAGAACCACTGAAAAACAAAGGAAAACATGGTGAAATTATTATTGGTGATATATTCAGTAAAAATTCATAAGAAAACAAAGTACAAAAAAACCCAGGGAAAAACTCATGCTTATATCGTGGTGAACCTGTCACTAAAGTAGGTAGGTATTCTTATAGTATTAGAACTATTGTAAGCAGGGCCGGATTTCCCAACAGGCCCGGTAGGCCCGGGCCTATGGGCGCAAGGTCCCAGAGGGCGCACGGCCGAGGGTAATTTTTTTTATACATAGGCTATCTAAAAATAAAAAGTCATAGTTGATAAAAAAAACTCCAAAGTATTGTGATTCTGAAGTTCATAAAAGAAGAAATAATTGTTAGGAAATTTAAACTATTTTTCAGAATTACGCATCAATTTCGTTACAAAATTGGTAACGAACATTTTGGTTATACGGGAGTAGGCTGTAGGGATGTTGACGTTGACGAGCGCCCGAGCGGCACGCATCGTATTGCCAATGCACTACCACTCACTTATGCTGGCTCGGGCTCGGGCTCGGCAGTATTCATCAGAGTGATTAGGGGCGCATGTGTGCTAGACATTGTTACCACCCTAACCTCAAAAAACAAAAGATATTAACTAATCTTTTGATTAGTTTACAACAATCTGCAGGATCAAGTTAAAATATATAATAAGTTGTGTTGAATAAAACAACGTTGAAATTCCCTTTAAAATCAACCAAAAAATATTAATCTCAGTTTGCATTAGATTTTAGAAAAATTCAATACCCTCCAAAGCACTATTAATGCTGTCATTTTCTCCTCAGACCTAAGGATCGGTACGGTTGGCCGGAATATTACTCATCAAGAATTGTTTTCAGCTAATCCAAAATGATGACAAATCTACTAAAGGAGTATGTTTAATCTATGGTATCACGTACTGCATGGAATTCATTTTTTTTGGGCCTGGAATTGGATTCAGTGGCCATGTTTTTTTTTGCAGGAATGCTCAGTGTCAGTGGGTTGAGTTGTTTTGTTTCAGTCACACGGACAAAAACGTGAGCATTTATTAAAAGCATAAAATTGCTAAAAGTATTTAAGACGGCATTTTTTAAAGGCTAAACAAGTCAATTCTACAAACAAAACTTGCAATGATACCAACGAGGAGTGGTATTCAAGCAATTAACTTAGGCCTATGGGCATGATACAGTTTTTAATAACTGTTTGAAGGAAAGTACCTAACTGTGACACCAGACTAGGGGGCGGAAAATCATTTGGGCCTAGGGGCGCAAAAATGCTAAATCCGGCCCTGATTGTAAGGATATGAGTGTACTTAGGGAAACTTTTGAGTGGAGATGTTCAGTTTTAAGAAATAATTTAGTTCCTAATAAAGTGTTATTTTATCTTTGTAAGCCCATTATAGCTAACAAGAGAAATTATCACTGTACTGCAGTAGCTTAACACAAATAATACTCCAAGGGTTCGTAATGGAAAATGTTACATGACCCAAAGAATAAAATGAACATTTTCTGAATCTTAAATTTATGTCCAATGCAAAATTTTTTCCCACAGTTATTCTATGACATTTAGTTCTGTTCACTATGCTATGAAATAATATTTATTTATTTTGATTGATATCCTATCAGAACAGAATCTTTGAACTTCCAATTCTGACCATTTGGAGAATTTTTCAGTTATTTCGTAATTACTGTGTTTTGTATCACAAGGAATATATTTTGAGGAAAATATGTTTTAGTTACTATATACAGTAAGTGGATTTAAATACCTTTTATACACATTTTGACCCTATTTTATATTCTTAATTCTTTACAGAACCTTATTAGAAAATTATCATGCAGGATCCTGTTTCTGAAAGGATATAAAGATTAAAGAGTATCACAAATTACTCACCGTATAAAGCATAAAGCCACATAAGCTGACGAAAACGTCAGTGTTTTTTGTAGTCCAGTGGCGAAGAGTGTCAGCCTCCTCTACTGTAAGGTAGCCTTTGGTCCAGGTGAAGTTACTGAACAGTCCAGCAACCTGAAGTAAACTTTGTATTAGTCTTGTTCAGTCTTTGTCAGTGTCTTACATAAGAGCCATTTGGAAGCTAACAAATAGTGGTTATATAAAATTAATTCTTTTCAAGTCTAATGTTTGAGTTAGTAACTACAGTTCGGCCGCTTAGAAAACGACCTGCGCGCTAATGCTAAACCAATGCTGGAGGAGGTCGTTTTCTAAGCGGCCGACCTATAGTAACTGAATTTAGTATCACCACTAAAGTAAACATACACCTTAGAATACTCTTTCATTTTCTTTAACCAGTTTACTTTCATGATATAAATCAGCTGTTTTCATTGTTGAACAATCTAACAGAATAGAAATAGACACAACTATATTGTGATGAAATAGTAGTTTACGCAACGATTGCATAAAGATAGTGTTAACGACACAAGTAGAAAATTTAAGGTACGAGCCTTGGCGAGTGCCTTAAAAACTTCTACAAGTGTCGTTAACACTATTTACGCGAGTTGCGTACACTACTTTACCTACGACGGTGTTTTAATTACTAAAAATCACTACTCATAACTTCTAAGAGAGGTTATGTTTTTGTTTATAACCTCCAATTGCCACTGACATTGATGCAACGAAACATTGTATAAAATACTAATTGCACCAATCAACAATTAAATTGGCCTGAACAGCTGATTAGTTGAATTCCGAATCAATACAATTGTGCTTCTCCTCTCTCAATCCTTGAACCTCATTGGTCCGTTACCCGTGTTGTTATGAGTAAAACTATGATGTTATGAATGTAAACAATGCTGTTATGAGATACTTTTCAATTCTAAGAACTGTACTGAAACGGCTACTTTAAAAAACGGTCGTAGGTAAAGTATCTTACATAACCTGTACCAGGTGACCAAAGGTGGCACTTGCTCAAATTATTTCACTAAGGATTTAATTGCCTTGCACTTGAAAGTCGGTGTACCTGCATTTGGCTTTGCCTCACACATGAACCTTGAGTGTGCACTGGAGAATGCCACTATCGGTACTATAGTAATTAAGACAACCATTATGAACCTAAAAACTCTCCAACTGCTGGAAACCGTAATTGTAAAAACCATAAACTTGACTGTAGTTCATTACCTGATCATGAGTGTTGAGATCACCAGCCATGTACTGGCCCAGTCCCATGGGGAAAGATACGGTAGAGGCAAGAAGAGCCACAATCCCTGGGTATAGGAAGCGGCTGTGGAAAACATGAGTGTTAAAACAGTTGGTATCCATCGGAGACCAGATATGTGTGTTAATATTATTATGTTGTTTAAAAAAAATTTGAACATACTGCAGATTTATGGAAGTACTTAACCATTAAAAAGCTTGTTGAACTATGAATATTTCTTTTAAGTTCATTTTCGGTGATAGTGATTTTACAATTATTGTGGACATTTTTCATCAATTTAAAAAACAAAGTTTTCACAACACTTCAAAACCTGGAAACATATCCTTTCCTCAGTTGAGAAAGTACATAAACATAACAAAATAGTAATCAAACCTAGCCAAAGCTGAAAAATAAAAACCAAAGCTGGCTGATCTTATGTGATAGATTCTTTCACACTTGAGGACGGGATCAAATTCCAGGTTCTGAAACGTCGTAAAAATATTGCGTTTTACTAATCACGATGGAAAATGTCAGCAATGATCTCTTAGTTAACAGTAATTGTTTTATCATTAAGGATTGTATATGAATAGGTAGTTAATATTACACTTTTTTGTTGTTTATTTTAAAATTAACTTTGATAATTTGTCTAACATAGAGAACAAGGGCCTAGGGTTTTAGGATATTTTATGAAGTGGGAATAACATTAAAACATGAAAACACTCTTTTCAATAATTGAAAATTCTGTGTCACTTATAAATATTCTGATGTTTTGTGTATACAAAGTAAAGTTTTATTTTTCTACTGTGAATTTTGGACTCTCATTCAGGTAAGCCTGCTATCCTCAATATATAACAAATCCTAATAGCTTAAATTATTGATAGAGGTATAGAAGTCAACAATACTGTTGACAATAAGAATGCTTAAGTACCAGATTAAGTCAACAATAGGATTAGAGGAATAGGGTTTAGACTTTTCCCTTATAAAAACGTAAGAGTACAGTAATGGCATTTGCGCATGTTAGAACTCACACAATGATGAATACTCACTCACTTTTTCTGCAGGAAACTGTTCATCTTCTTGTTCCTCCTCATGAACAGCACATATTGTCTGTGCGACCAGACGTAGCCTGCTCCTCCCAGGCCACACACTACTCTGACAGGCCAATACATTTTGTTATAAGCTTCATAAACACAACAGTCTCAAGTATATACTATTTTTATTAATGTATGGTTACAAATGGGTTACTTAAAAATGCTTACAAATCTTAATCTACTTTGTATTTGGACGTTTCCTAAGATATATTTTTACTTCCCCCCTAAGCTACATAACTGGGGAAAGTATTTTTTGCGTCAACATTTTCAAGTTTCAGATTTGGCTGGAAATATGACCCCAAACAGTGGGTTTTAAATAGGGTCTGTGTATGTGTCTGTATGTCTGTGTACAGAGCTACAGACTACAACCATAGATGAAGTAATATAAATGGTGTTTATTTATTCTATGCTACAACTGTGGTCCAATTTTTATAACATATCTGATATTTGTTAAACATAGGCCTATGTATGTTTGTTTCAATGAATCATTTTTCGTTTAGTCTAATTACATTTTGGGAAAATTAGTAAGATACGCTTAACAAGAAACATAAAGAAATACATCTGTAGAGGAACATGTTGTGTGTAAATCAAATTCAGGTAGCCGCATGAATCACAAAAAGATTGGTGCTTCATCTATTTACAATAACTCTTTCAAGGTAAATTTGCTGGAACAATAGAATAGTTCTGGGGTGTGTTGACAACCAGGAATAATGTAATGGTTTACTTAATTTTTTTGTTACAGAAATAAAACACTTCAGATACTCTCTACCAGTTTTCTAATAAACATGCTAAAAACACAGTTTTATTAAAAAAATAAGTCATAGAATCCTCGCCCTTTATCGATTAACTTACCCCATTAAAGAATAGACTACGAGCTCTTGCGGGTCAAAGGGGAAGTCCATTGTAAAGTTGGTCTGAAAGAACGCCTTTACAGTGTCTGAAAAACATTTCAATACCATAATTATTCTGAGAGAAAGATATACAATCAACAGCTAGATTGTAAAACACTAACACTAACAAAAACTATTGTCTATATACGCATATTTAGAACTATTTACACACACCGTCACCACCATGGTCTGATAGTTGTTATTATTCCTCATATAAGCAGGAGGTCCTTCTTTTAATTTACGTAATTTCCCGGATAGTATAAGAAGATCCCCTGATGATGCCAAACAATCTGACGAATTGTACATAGAGTAACATACAGCTATGACCCAAGACCAAATGCAACAACAATAAGGTAATGTACTACTTTAATATAATTTAAGTTCTGCAAAATTTACCTTCTTTCTGAAACCATACAGCTAGAAGTCTAAAAACTGTTGCTCCGCAAACTGCTGTGAAGAATCCCCTCCAGTAGTTTCTAACAGCGAAGTAAACGGTTGTGACTTCTATGCTGAACAGCACACCTGTAATATTGAGCACATGTGTTGTATTGTAAATGTGTGCATGTTAAAAAATGCTAATGGTAAAAATAATTCACTCATCTTTGTCATAAAATTCACCCTGGGGTACCCTAGTCAAATCTAATTTAATCTAAACTAATGGACATACAAGTATCCCATACAAATGTGCATGTGTGTTGCTTATTCTTGTTAAAGCATCACTCAAAAACCTTTGCATTCTCAGTATAAATTTTTCCAAATGCAAAAAAAATTTAAATTAAAAAACTTAAAAAAATGTCCAACAAAAGTTTGATAACTGTGATTGATATGGTAGTAACAACAAACAAAACCTTGAGAAAATTATTTGTTTAAATTTATTTCAAAGTTGCAATCTATTGTTATTCATAGCCTATGGTTTTTCGATGGTTAGGTCTGTGTTGTAGAGAAGAAATTGATGGTAGAAAGTTAATATAGGCATGGGCGCAACAAAACCTTGTTTGTAATAAAACAGTCAGTAAGTAACGATGATGCGTGTGTATATGGTGGATAAAATTAATTCACTTTTAAATGCTGATCTTTTCTGAATCTGTTTTAAAGTTTCTTTTTCCAAAATATAATTACAAAAGGACACTAGACTAAGAAAGGAAACTCACCTCCGATAGGAGCTCCGAAACAGCTGGCCACACCGACGGCGCAAGCCGCAGCCAACATTTCTGTGTTGCGGGACTCGTTCTCATATATTCCTTGAAACGAGGTGACTAGCTTCGACAACAATGTGGCTGCAATACTCGCAATGTGTACAAACGGACCCTGAAACAACCAACTTCAGAAAATCTGATCATCTAAAAAACACAAATTTCAAAAAGTTAAACATACCGGTAAAGAGTTTCAGGTTCAAAATTGTTCACACATCCTAATCAACCAAGCTTTAAGTAGGATGAGATATATTACCTTTGACTATGAACAGTTCTACTCCCATAAGTTCTACTCAGTTTTAGAATAAAAGTCAACATTCTTGAGTCAAGAACAGAGAGGGATGCTAAAGTAAATCTGATTTCTGTAGAATCTCGCAAAGTTTTTAACCAAACCAATCTGGCAGGCTCCTCAATAATGTGTTACTGTGACAGATAACTAAATTAATTTCTTATTTATACTTTTCTCTGCATTAAATTTAGAAATAGACAAGTATTTAATATTAAAGGGAATGTATAAAATAGACAAGTATTCCATACAAAGGGAATGGGGTGGTTCTTTTCAAAGAATGTAACAAGATCAATAAAAATTTGGCTAGAGGTTGTGGCCTCACAGAAGCTGAGTTCAAACAATACTTGAAAATGGTCGGAGACGTTATTCCTCTTAGAAGTCTTCATGGGAGATCCAGGGACGGGAACCAGTGCAGGCATTGTCCTGTATCTGAGAAATTTACTCTTGAAACTCTTGCCCACGTCCTTGGAAAGTGCCCATTTAGTAGTCTTCTACGAAATACCCGCCACCATACCATCAGAAAAATCATAGCTGATCAATTCAGAAAGAAAAGTTACGAGGTCTATGAAGAGGTCACAGCTATAGAAGAAGAGGGCTCTGTGAGGCGGAGTGACATCATTGTTGTAGACAAGGAGAAAGATTTCGGTCTCATTATAGACCCAACAGTTCGTCTTGAGACAAATGAAAATCAGCCACAGGAAGTCCATGAAGAAAAATTTAATATTTATAAGAAAACTATCCCATATTCAGAAAAATATAAAATATCAAAATTCGAAGTATATGGACTACTCATTGGATCAAGAGGAACAATTCCTCAACAAGTTGAGAAATTTTGGAAGAAATTCAAGTTGGAAAATCAAGTGCTATATTTAATATCTTTAACAGCCATAAAATTTTCTATTAATATTATAAAGAAACCACCTATATAACAATTATCATAATTAGGTTTAAACAAACTTGCAAAATTTAATGTAATATTATTCTTTGTTCTACGGCAGACTACAATGTGTAGTAAGATTTCAATTTTTAAAATAAATTTGAATTTATATACGACAAAACAACAATTAAATACAATCTACTAATGGTACTTCTATATTTTTCTCGATTTACTGGCTTAGGATGAAAAATCTGTATAAAATTTAAAAGAATACTCAAGCAATTCAAGCATACATTATAAGTATGTGTGAAGATTGTTTCATTTTGAAAATTTATATTGTAAAGAGGGGTTTTCAATAATACACACGGACACATAATACATTTCTAAACTAAATACAGACATCAACCTAATGGACCAAACAGCTAAACCACTTCACCAAACATGCTACTGTACTTTTGGATTCCACTGATTTATAAAGGGCCAACAAGAACAGTTTGTATTATATTGAGTGGACAACTTCTATTCAATAAAGCATATATATTAACCTGAGGAGCAAGGTTCTGCTGGCTGAGGTCTGGTAAAGCGCAGGACTTCGAACCTCGAGTAACAGGTTCAAGTCCAACCAAACACCAATGGATTTTACTTAAGTGATATAATGCCGCAACTTCTAACCCTAGCCTGAAGTAATGTAGAAATTAGAAAACAATAACTCGCTAAAATATATAAAAACAATTTAATAAAAAACATATATAATTGAAAATACATAAAAATAATGTGTTTGTAAAACATTAGGACAACGAAGGCTGGCATGCATGTTAAGTATTGTTACTGCTAGTAAATCACCTCTTTACCCAATGGTAATCCACTGCCGAGAGTGGCAGTGAGACCGATCACTTTTGCCACCAGAGTGCGAAACGTCAGGTACTCTTTGAGGGAGACTCCACGTAAAATAGTCTTCATTTCCGGGATCCCAGAGCCTGCGGGAAAAAGGAGAGTAAATCAGAGAACAGAGAAAAAAAAGTTTTAAATGTATCTCTTATATATTGGTTAGTTGTGCTAAATAGAAATCAAAAGAAAAACTTGAGCAATTTTGTTTACAATTAATTGCAATATGGATACACTTGAAACAACTTAATTTACTCTGGTGTAGATTTTATTGTGTTGATGCAGAGGAAGTTAAAGCGTTTTGCGTTGTTTGTTTCTATCTAACCATCTATATCTATTACAGGTCAAATAAAAAATGGAAAACATGGGAAAACAAATAATGTGAAACGTCCAGAGAAGACAGTTTTTAAAATCATAAAAGAAAATAATTAAAATTGTGGCAAAAAAAGAATGAAAAGAAAAAGATGTTAAATCTTTGTATTCTAGTAAGTGTTGTTCTTTTTCATAAAAAGAGTTGTGCAAGAATAGTGTAGGAATAACAGTTTATTGACTTCCAAATCAATAACCAGTTTGTACTCTATCCTTTCCACTTAATTATTTTTAAACCATAAGTATTATTATTTAATTATTATTTAAGTATTATTATTATTTATGATTATTTTCCTTCTATCAATCTTATTGAATTATATTAGGCATATTAAAAAAAATATTTTTCTTAGTACAAAATTATTGTTATTCATTGTGAAAATGTTAATAATAATGAAAACAAGACTCCAAAAGTGATTTCTGTACCTATAGACTGCGGCGCTACAATGTGCACGAACCCGGCTGAGAAGAGAATTAGACAAACGGGCAACGACACCCAGGCCATGTAACGAGCAAACGGGTGGAACGCTAGGTCTCTGTATAACCATATACGGCCTGAAACACACAAGAGAATTAGACAAACGGGCAACGACACCCAGGCCATGTAACGAGCAAACGGGTGGAACGCTAGGTTTCTGTATAACCATATACGGCCTGAAACACACAAGAGAATTAGACAAACAGACAGAGACACCCAGTCCATGTAACGAGCAAACGGGTGGAAAACTATATCTCTGTATAACTATATACGACCTGAAACGCACAAGAGAATTAGACAAACAGGCAGAGGCACGCAGGCCATGTAACATGCAAACGGGTGGAACGCTAGGTCTCTGTATAACCATATACGGCCTGAAACACACAAGAGAATTAGACAAACAGGCAGAGGCACGCAGGCCATGTAACATGCAAACGGGTGGAACGCTAGGTCTCTGTATAACCATATACGGCCTGAAACACACAAGAGAATTACACAAACGGGCAACGACACCCAGGCCATGTAACGAGCAAATGGGTGGAACACTAGGTCTCTGTATAACCATATACGGCCTGAAGCACACAAGAGAATTAGACAAACAGGCAGAGACACCCAGGTCATACACAACATTTCAGTGACACTACATTATAGCTACACTATAACAGACACTATCATAATCGCTCAATTATTCAAGACAGCGGCACACATCTGGGTTTGGAATAATTTGAGATGACTTTTGTTTCTTTGTTGACTAAGATCAGATATTTCTTCAGCCAAGGCCATTTATTAAAATCCCAATAATTTAGCAGAATCTGGGTCAAGTTTCAAACCATCAAAATGCAAAAGGTTACTGACTCTTCTCAGGATTATAGTCTACTGAGGACCTTCAGATCATTTAAGTACGCTCACTATAACCAAACCACTGAGCTATAATAAAATTTCTCAACAAATAAGGCAGATTTCTGCCTCACCTTTGTTGCACATGCTGATCCCATGGTCCATGATGAAGCTGAGGAATGCCATGATGAGACCCAGCAGCGCCAGGAACACCCAGTCTTCTCCCAACTTGGCAAACGTGTGTTTCCAGACAAACCCCACCGCCGAGGCCAGCTTGGACGCACATTTTCCTCTGTATTTGTGCAGTTCTTCGTTGCGTATCCTCTCTTCTTTTCTCCTCTGTTTCTCTAGTTTTAGTGCTTCTTCTTTTGCAAACTCCCCTAGCTCTTTGGTATAGCGGCCATACATCTGAAACACCATGGTGAAATTAATTTGATGTTATGCATTAATTTCAAAAATGAAATGAGCTGTTTTAGTAAGATGATTTGGCGAAGGAAAAATGTGTAAAATACTAAATAAATGATTCATGAAGTTTACTTTAAAATTACACAGCTCGCATTGATTGGAAAAGAAACCTATTGGCTAATGTGTATTACATTTTATTTCTCATTTTACCCGACATGTTGATTTTGATTCTGATTTCCTGTAGAAGTAACCATAGGATAGGATGATAATTATAGTTTAAGAAAAATTTTATCACTCAATAAAGGATCACGAATGTTTTAAGATACTTCATTTTCCCAGGGCCGCATTTATCAATGTGTCTGAAGGGCCCAGACCCAGGGGTACAAGGAAGAGAAAATGTTTTTCACAATGTAGGTGGAGAGGAGCACAATTATATCTCGGGCCCTTAGCAAATCACATGCAAACCGTGATTTCACTTCTCAATGCCCAGACGAATTGTGCTCTTAGGACACTGACACTGAGCTACAAAACGAACAAGTCAATCTTAATTAAGAAACTCATTTCACCGCACAAAACTTATGCCAACGAATGATTGATTGTGAATAGAAGATTAACAGCCAGGAAACATTAATTACCACAATGAACCATCCATCACGCTATCTGTTCTTGCAAATTATTGTAAGCCAAAAAGTTGGTTCTGTAGTAGATTTTTTGCTACAATGCTACAAGTGCAAAACGTTGTTTTATGACAATTAATACTGTACAGAATGTGTCAGATGCGAACTCTAACATTTGATCTTGAATGTTTAAAAAACCGGTCTTGCTAAAATATTTATTATCTGGCTTTTAAATAAATAGTTTGATACTGCTGAATTTGAACTTTTAAAAATTTAGAAAGTAGTTAAATAAAAAAATAAAAAATAAACACAACTTATACATGTTAATCCTGTTTTCGTGTACTGTCAATTTAGTTTAGTTTAAATATTGAAACTAATAGTTTCTTTTCAATAAATGAACATGTTTTAAGTCAAATTAAGGCGTTATTATGTACTGTATTATGAAATGTAATTCAGTTACGTGACTCGTAGACAAACACTTTTTTCCTACAGTCACCCGACAAAGTTGGCTTCCTTGTACTGTTTATAGTACATAAAGCTGCGAATTGCTGCATATTTATACTTTGCCGTACGGTTTATACTTTGTCGTACGGTACGGTTTATACTTTGCCGCACATCAGGATTCCAACGAAACAACACAAAAAACAGCGTGGTTCTATTATGCACGTAATCCGTGTACGCTTGGAAATAGGTTGGCAACACTTAAAGATAATAATACTATGCGCAGCTGATTGACTATTATAACTACGATTTAACCTGTCATTTCGTGTTTATAGTGTCGGTATTTCTGGACTTTTATTTTAAACGTTTTTAAAACATTCCTACGATCTTAATAAACAAGAAAATACCTTTAAAGCATTTTTAGGAGCGGAAACCACTTCAAATTACAAAAACATACGGAACTATATTCTCAAGTGGCGGAGCGCATTTCTTGCCGAGGAAAAATAGCGGAGTGATACGGACCGGGTACTACTTTCTCTAGGGCACCTATTTGTGTTGCCAGCTGAACCTAAAAACGGGTTGTATAGTGTTTGAAAGACTAATTATTTATATGATTTATAATGACAGTAGGAAAAATATAATGTGTAACACAAGTGCAAAAGGCCTTTGCTGCACTCGAGATCATACTCGCCTGCGGCTCGTGCGTAAACATTGCTCTCGTGTGCAGCAAAGTGCCACTTTGCCCACTAGTTACACAAATAACTATTTCATTATTTAACTTATGCCTTAACCCATAACCGGGTGAAATATTTTCAAGTTTGTTAACTTCTTGTATGATCAACTTGGCCTTAATTTACTTGATTGCTAAATTTGTTTATCAAATAAAAAAAACAATCTTTAACATAAAACACAAACAAAAAACTATAAACAAACAAAGAAACAGACTATAAATTTGTGGCCGATATTTAATTGAGATAAGACATAAACTAGACTGTGCAGAGTTGATGTCTTGTAGTATTCCGGCACTAACAAATTCAAAACCTAGGTATATTAGTGCATACTAGAAACTATTGAGAACATTTATTTGCCTCATTTACGTTAAAACATCCCACAGAACACAGTGTATTTATTATGAACGACTAATTAAAATTCTCTACAGTCCATATTACCAGGTCATTGATACTAAATGACGACACAACCTCTCAGAACTAGTAAACCTTACCTTGGCCACAAATTGAATTTACCTGCTTGACCACATTCATTTGCATACGTAAACCGCGAAATCGAGCCTACTGCTGGGGCTCAGGCCGCATTCTGTCCAATGGTTCTAATAGCGATTAATCGAGGTTCTACTAGCTTAGAAGGTGCTAAACCAAAATTGTTTTACTCCCATTATTCTTCGTGTTAGTTTTACGTATAAAGGTTTACAGTAGGTACTACTGATGATTCATTTTGTTTATACAGTATTGTATTTTTTGTATCTTGTATGGTAAATAACATAATTATTTGTTACCAACGTACTGCGGTTACTGGTAGAAAGGGCTTTCAAGATAATATATTGTAATGTTTATTAAAATGTTTGGTTAAAAATTGTTATCATTTCATCCCATTAAATTAAGTCTGGGGATGAACATAAGTTACGATTTTTATCCACACTATAAACCATAAACCAGAGATCACTTTTAACGTAATTAATCATTTCAGCAATCCAAATACTAAACAACAAATTTTATAACGATTTTATGTTTTGATGAGCTATTATTTGCATTATTGAAACTGAATAATTATGCTTTTGAAGGAACCAATTTGAGAACACAGTGCAAAACAAGAAAGAAAATACGCTAATTTTGGATATTTAAATTTATCTCACATGCGCGTTTGTTTGTAATCCAAGGAGCTGAAAAAGTGTACAGCTGTGTAACGTTGCAGGTAGCCAAAGGAGTTTAGGAAAGATGGGGACAAGGAAAGTTAGGGACACGGAAAGTTAGGGCCAAATAGGGGTTCGACCAGGGGGGAGGGAGAGATTAGCTGAACTAGGCTCTGAAACGACTCTTTTAGAACGAATCGTTCCCCTGTTTCAGTTCACAGAGAGCTTAGCTACAGTAACGGGATTGACTTTAAAATCATAATTTGAATATTTCCAAACAGTAAAATGTTAAAAGTCAGACAAGTTCTGATTGATCCAGGCCTAATCGCCTAGGTTTGCTAGCTTCTTTTTTTACCCATTTTGGGTAAGTTGAATATATATTACAGAAAATATAAACGCATTCTATGCAATAATATTACTGAATATAATGTTATGACACATTGTTAAGATATATTGTTATAATTAGTTTAAAATTAAAATATTTTTGTGATTGTGTAGGCCTACGATAAACGTTATGAAATAAATTGCATTTTTGTTTGCACATTGCCTGTATTTGGTTACTTTTATGTCAGATAGACATTTTATCTCTGAATTTCTGATCCGCTGTCATTTTTTTTTCGGAAACGCTTAAGAAGACAATATTTTATGCGGTCTACTCTGGGAAAATTATAGGACTGCGCGGTCAAGATTGAATATTTTGACATATATTTTCAACGAAAATTCAGTATTTTTTTTAAGGGGTTCAAATCGGTTTACAAGGCTTTGTAAAATTAAAGCGAAATATGTTATATGATATTACCCGATGGTTAAAGATTTTCTGGCCAAGGGATCCTTGGCTGGATCCGCCACGGGATTAAACTCTTTTTTTTATATTCACTAAATTGGTGAAAATGGCCCAATGTATTTTTTTTTTAATATGTGTACATAACGGATTGGGGTATAGTTCAGTGGACCTGTGTTTCGTGGAAGGTCTAACATTGGCAAAACTATCTCGAATTCTCTGAGAGGTTCAGTATTCTATTCAATGAATTTGCAGAACAGGGAAATTATGAATGTCGTCCGTTGGGGGGTCTATTTCGTAGAACACTTGGCAATAACGGTCGCATACTATCGAGTTCAAGTAGTTTTGAATGTTTAAATGTGAAATGTGGAACTGGTGAACATTTAAAAAAAACTGGCCAATTTTATTGTTTAACTATTTGTAACTTCACAGTATACTTGATTTGCTTGTTTCATTTATGGGGAGGGGAGGGTTTAAAAGCTAAACCTTTAAATAAATTAGACTTTAAAGTAAAATACAAACTTTATATCTCTCGGCAATAAATTACCCAACATAGGCTGAGGTAATAAATTAATGTAATAAATTTATAACTTTTTTAATGTAAAGGTTTTAAATAAACTATAGGTTGTCCAGTGGTCGAAATCTCGACCAAAAATATGTAATTTACAGACTTTTCTATATTGACCCACGCTGTAAATAAAACAGGTGATTGGAATTTTTTCAATTTGTTTTGATTTTGAATATATTTTGCGTTATTTCGTCACCAGCATGGCAACCCAAAAGGTCCATATTAATTTATTAAAATTAAAATTAAATTGTTTGTGTTTTTTTAGCCCATTTTAATTAAAAATGGGTTTTTTCACATCTACGGAAAAATATCTTTTCAACAGTATGCGTAGATTTACCCTGCGATGCACACGAGCTGAGAAAAAAGGTTTTCAAGAAACAAGCTTGCATATTAATATGTAGATGTTAGCTTGGAGTTGGATGGACCGAATTTATTTTCTCTTATAGATAGTTGTAACTAATAGCATATTTCATCGCTAGGGCCTAAAGTGACTCTTTTTGACCGTGCGGTGAACTATATTTTTTGTTATATTTCATAATTAATTAACAAAAAAAGCTAGAAAACATAATAATTGTTATGTAAAGATAACTTTTCAAAACGAATTCCAGCTTGATTTGAATTCTGTCAATGCAAATAAGCAGCTGTTTAGTAAGTGATTCAATCATTTCGTCTATTAGTTCATTGTACCATCGATAGGTCGAGCAATCGATAACAATGGGCTAAACCTTA